TATATAAATTAATCGATAAATAAGGATCATGAAAGGGTAAAGAATCCAAGCCAAACACTGGCCAGAAGCAAATGAGCATTCATGCATTTGTTCTCTATGTTTGATTTTTGATATGATGTGGCCACCTCTCATTTTCCCACTACCATCATGGTTTGAAACATGGCATTGTGAGCAAAAATGAACCCTTATGTTTAAGCTGATTGTTGTAAGGATATTTCAGTGCAGAAAAAGAACTTAAACTAAAACCATCATTGAATTCAGATATATATTACAAACTTTAACAAAATGCTCATAATCTAATGTTTATTTTCTCTACTATGTTCATTCCAGGCTACACAGATCATTAAACACACACACACACACACACACACACACACACACACACACACACACACACACACACAAGACACTAGTAGATCTCAGATTCGAGGGTGTAGATAATTTGAAGTGTTTATATACCATAATTGTATTATACTCAGAGATTATTTTAAAGCAATGTGTCTAGTCTAATTTTAATAATGGTAATTTAAATTAATTGCATACATAGATTAGTATTGTTTCCTTTTACAACTTGAAACAATAAGGTTAGTAAATGCAAGGTGTCCACAGTGATCAATTTTAATGTTTATTTATTTAATCACTCAATTAAGAGCTTACTTAATTAGTAGAGATGCTGTGTGGTTCTCATCCTGGTGAGAGTTTTATACTATGGCTTTTCACAGGCAATGCAGCAGTTTATTTCTTTCAGACAAGAAAGGTCCATTATAGAGATTATGAGTGTGAACAAAGGAACACTGATGAGAATAGTAGAATAGGGGAAAAACAAGCCTTTACCTCACAGGGCTGTTGGAAGAATCCGGGTCATGAGCTGCTACAGTTCCGATGATATTCCCCACCTGCGTAGCTTCTGATACCTCCATGGGGTACAAGGGTGAAGAAAATACAGGGGGCTCATCTACATCTTCCACAATTATCTTTACGGTTGTGGTGTCACTAAATGGACCCAAACTTAGGAAGCGGGGATCAGCATCACGATTTGCAGCTTCTATGCGCAGCGTATAACTTGTTTTGGCTTCAAAATCAAGTTCCTGTAAAGAAAGTTATTTTAGGGAAACTAAATTACTAATTAGACAGTCAGCTAAGCAAGCTTTTTCATTTGGGAATATCAATAACTGTAAGGAGACTCTGTCAAGAAAATGCACCATCAGCATTCAAACACATAAGACATTCTGCCTATTAGAGATCAGTGTCCTTGCTAGTTTTTTGGCTCAGTCCAGGGTATGTGCGTTGAGCTAACTTAATCCATCCTACTGCCATGCATTTCTGGAACAAACACAAGTATTCGTAACTATATCTGAGAGAATAAGGCCTGATTTAAAGTATTTTCCAACAGGGCATCAGTGTAATACTCTTAAATCATATAATCCATCTACCTTACTCAGGAATATATGTTAAAATGGAAGCAAAACCTTGTGTCCACTCAATCTTTCATTTAGAAGATGAGTGATTTAGGGGGTTATACTCATATTCTGAGTTCTCAGGTGCTCAAAATGTAGAAATAGCAGCAGTGAAAGTATATGGATGTGTCTCAGACACTTACTACAGTCTTTGTATTACTCCTTTCTATAGGGCACTCATTAGTGCTGCTTTCATTAACAGCCCATTTCTAAACACAAAAGCTCTCTACATAGATGTCTGTTACCTATATTTCAGAATTTTAAATGTGTATGTGATTTCCTAAGAGGGCTAGTGATGTAAAAATTCTATTCAAAAGCAGTGTAGAGTAAATTACAAAAATTAAATATTTCACTAAAAACTCACCATCTGTTCAAAATAAGAACTATATACGTGGTATGAAGATGCGTGGAACAAAAACATATGGAGAATGACTGTTTCATAGGTTTGTTCTCAATCTTATCATTGAAAATTCTCCTCAAATCTTCTACACATAATGCCACAAAACAGAGAGACATTAAAGTAAAGAACACGATAGAAATATAGCCAATTCCAATGGACATTTTACTTAGTAGAAGTATTTAACAAGAAATAAATTAAAAATATAATAGTGATGGTTAGAATACAAATTTACCTACTGTGCTTAAAGACACATGCGTGCACATATGTGGGTAATCAGATATTCCAATTCATCTCCAAAAGTGTGGGAAATCAACTCAAATGTATTTTAAATGATGGACATAATATAAAAAACATTAACATATATTACATGCACAAGCATATAATACATTCAATATGTCACATATAGCCTACAATAATTATACACATAGTACCTGTAGTATAAAATATATTTTTGTATACCACACTACATATAAAGTATTTTATATTTTATTATAGTATATATTATAATATAAATCTATTATTTATAATATAAATGAAAATATATATATATTTTATATACTATATATTATATACTACCTATAATATAAACTATGCTTTACATAAATGTACCAGCAATCTTATACATATATTCATATCACATACACAAACTATACAACATTTATTACATAATGAGATTCTGCTGCTTCTCTTTGGCTAATGTAAAACAAAATATAAATTGATCCACACAATTTGTTCATTTCCAAACATAGACAAATCTTACTGATGCAGTATATATTTCATGAGATAGGTGCTATCCATATGATTGGTTCAAAACTCTTACTCTCAGTATTCATTTTTCTTTAAGTTTAGAGAAGGAGCTCAAGTACTAATCACTGAATTAGAGCAAAAATTCTGAATTAAAGCTTTGATATTGTGCATAAACCACTTAAAAATTGAATCATGCCCTTGACCCAATGATTCTGATATCCCAAATGGAACACAAAGGAAAAGTACAATGATGTATATTTTGTTTCTGATCACAAATAAGCAAAGCAAATTAATGCTAATGCTAACTTTGTAAATAGCTCCATGGAGGAGAATTAATAGTGTAAATCAAATCCTGGTTTCCATATGAAAATACTCAATAAGCAGTGTCACATACATTGTAAGGAATTCTGCAGTATTTTAATGAGCCAATATTTTGTACAGGTTTTTTATTACCATTTTATTGAGGGCACTATATATGTTTCCCTTCCTATACCAGGGTATACCTGTGGAGATGAGAGGACAATTTTGTGGAGTTGTGTCTCTCCACCCTTACATGGGATACGGAGATCAACCCAAAATTCCATGCTTGCTATGCAAAGACTTGTCCCTACTGAGGCATCTCCTGAGACCCTCCCTCTTTGTCTATAATTTAAGAGGTTATAGAGTGAAACTCAGCACCTTCTTGCTCCTTCTGTGAGTATTCATAATACTCAGGATATGTACATGCACAGATATTTCTAGGAGGAATATCAGCTATTTCTCACAGAGATCCTCATTTAGATACAGAGGTACTGAAATCTTCCTGGGCCTACACTAAAATCCAATGACTGTAAGTAGGGGCACCAAGAAGACAGCAGAGAATCTGTATTCACCTGAAGCATTTACACACAGACCTTGCATAACTATGAATGATTTGTATACAAACTTATTTCAGTCTCATTTACTTATATAAATGCCAAACCATAAGAGATTTGATTATCCAATATCGTGTTTCAATAAACAGGGAAGGATAAGGTTCCATTTCCAATCTCTTTGCAAACAAGTGCAAACTCTAAACTACCTTCAAACTATTCAATCAGGCCTTCAATATTTCCAAAAGGTGTAACAAGTACTTCTGTGTTCAAGGAAAAGTTTGTCTCATCTACACAAGAATAATTTAAAGTTAAGATAAAAAAATAAATTTAATTATATTGTAGTAACATATTGTAACAGGCCTCAAAGGCAACAACATGAAATAGAGTTTATGAATGCAATAAATTAATATAAATGCAGTAGTATGTATGAAGAAAATCTGTCTAGAAGCATTATGAATATATAATTAATGTATTTATATAATTTATGTAAATAATTTATATAAAATATTATAAACCAAGATTCCAAGATTGTTACATAAAAAATATTTGCAGAACATGTCACAATATGTCATGGATTCAATTTTACAAAGGGAAAATATATTATTAAATTTGATAGTATTATGTAATAATGAACCTATTTTAGAAATGACATTCTAATTAATTGTTTTCTTCCTCATTATTGATTTGCTGCACAGGAAATACATTTAAAAACTATTATATTTGTTTATCTGGATAATCATATACAAAGTGGTAATGAAAATAGAAAAAAGACACAAGAGAAAACAAAAAGATAGTCATAGGGATAGAGGGAAAGAGTCTGAACTTGTTCTCTTTAATGTCTGAAACTCATAAGCCTGGAAATTATATAACAAACCAGCATCACACTAGTGGTTCAAATGCATAGTAACAAGGTTAATGAGGCCGGGAGACCCTGAATCATGCAGGTTACAATTAGTGAAGTCACACAGACATTATGGAACTACAGGTGTCACTTTTTCACCTGTGGATACTTATGGCAGATAAAAAGGCAGAAGCAGCTGGTTTGATAAAAACCCATTAACTGACTGTAAGAGACTTCTTCAAATTTACTATCAGCATGAATGAAAAATTAGCATTAAAATAGTTATATCTAAGGACATGGTCTACTGTTTTCCTACACGAAGCCAGCCAGTAAACCTCAGATATTGCAGGCTTTGTGCTCCCTGCCATATATGAAGAAACAGGCATAGTTATACATCAGTAATTGCACACAAATGAACAATGGTTCAAATTCTCTGTAATTTCTGTGTATCCCAATGCATCCTTGTTTTCCAGTGACTTAAATCATAAAACATTGTGAATATGAGTTCTAAGAAATATGAGTATAGTGTTCTTTTTTTTTTAAAACCACTCAATAAAAAAATATCCACAGCTGACAAGGCTAACACTCAAAGCTGTGTACAATGGCCACAGCTATGCTGTTTTTATACTGATAACTCCTATTCCTTCCAAAGCTTTCATTGCAATTACAATAATCTAAACACAGAGAGAGCACAATGCCACCTGCTGTTCCTCTTTCTTTTGTAACTTCATTTTTTACATTTATGAAAAATGTTGTAGAGACCACTGTCTTCCATAAGGACACTTCTCTAATCTACTTACAAAAGAAATAATAGGCCTTTATATCAAGAAAAATTTCCTTCCAAGTAATTTTGTTCATATTTTAAGATGCATTTAAATATTTTTAAATTATGTGTATGCATGTACATCTGTGTGAGAGTATCTGTATTTGAATACAGTTATTCAAGGATGTTCTTCTGAAGCTGGAATTATATGCAGGTGTGATATCCAAGAAGTAAACTAGGAATTGAGCCAGAGCCCTGTGTAGCAGTAGTACATGCTCTGAAATTCTCAGTCATTTTTCAAGCCTCTTTGTTCACATCTTTAAAATACATTTAAGTAAATTATTTGCTTTGGGTTGATGATTTATGCTCTTTCACTTTGTCATTCTAATATCTTCCCATGTGGCATTAGGTTGTGAGCTATGACGGAGTCTTGAGTGCGAAAGTCTATTCACAATATGTCTGTAGTTGCCAGTTAGCAGCCTTGGCTAGGCTATGGGGCATTTAGCAGTGGATCAGTATTCATCTCTAGTGTAGGAATGTACTTTGGGAGCCCATTCCACATAGAGGGATACTGTCTCAGCCTAGACACATGGGGGAGGGCCTAGACCCTGCTTCAAATGTGATAGACTTTGAAGAATTCTACAGAAAGCCTCACACTTCCTGTGGAGCAGAAATGGGATAGGATAAGAGGGTGAGTGAGGTCAGGGGAGGAGGGTAGGCAGATGAAACTAGGATTAACATGCAAAACAAGCTTGTTTCCAATTAAATTTATTTTAAATTATATAAGTAAAAAAAGAGAGCTTCCACAGTCTCCTTGCTCTATATGCCTTATAATGGCACACTGAGCAGAGTCATCCCAGAGCTAAGGAGAGGGTTATCAACTGCAATTGATTCTGCCTTGACTTTGGACTTTCAAGCTTCTAATTGCAAAATAAACATATTTTTATTATTTAATCAGCACTCTTTGTTATTTTAATATAGAATCTTGAAATAGAATATATAGCATTTTTAAGAGTTGTGAAAACT